ACAAATTTGTCCCCAAAATATAGTTAAGGTACACACACACACACACACACACACACACACAAAAGTATGTTGATATCAATGTAAACTGTATCTCTGAAATCTAAGGCTTGGCTAACTTTACAGCGATGCTTATGTTGCTAAAGTTTAAGTAAGATACAGTGTCCTCTGTAAGAGGCTCTCAAAGCCGTTCCAAGAACTCTCGGAGTCCCAGGAAGTATTTAAAGCTCAGACGTGATGCTGTAAAAATAATTCAAAGAGCAGGAAGAGGAGTTATTAAACCGAAAGGAAAGTTGCACAAGAGTGGAGGGGAGTTCAGACAGCAGGGGTCTTTGATGAGCGTATCCGGACTGGGCCGGATGAGAGCTGAGTAATGTGGGGGAGCTTTATCCAGGTGCACACATTGTGCTCTTGAGTCTAGCACTCTTTTCTGCCCTCATCCGTCTCTCTTTCACTCATTCGTTCTCTTTCTCCCCCCTTTCCCTTCTCTGTCTCAGTTCGAGCGCCAGGAGTCAGATAGATGGTCCAGCTGCATCCTCTTGGTCACTATGTGCCAGTTTATTTAAGGTCTTCTTGGAACAGAGACCTCCCTGTGAAAGTCTTAATATATTGCCTGTGTGTTCGTGTTTGCCTGTGTTTGTTCTCAGGAGAGTAAGTCACGGTCCCTAAATACATCTCAGGGTCGGTTAGATTTAGAACGCTGAGTAAATACTACACCGATTCGGCTTGCATGAAAGGGAGTGTAGTTATGGCTTTCTCATTATGTTTTGGACTGAGGAGATCCATAACACCTGGAGAAAGCTATCCATTAGCATTCCCATTCATCTCAATGGCACTTTGTCAGGATGGCACAAGAACAAGGACGCACATAATTCCAAAAGTCTTCAGCGACTATTTTGAGGTGTGACGTGGCAGGCAACAATTTAAGGCTAAATACTTGTTATAATGTTGTTACAATACAATATAATTATTATTTGTATTTTCTACTTTCCAAAAGTTTGGGGTTGGACATTTAAAAAAAAAAAAAATGTTTTTGAAAGTCTCTTTGCTCACCAAGGCTGCATTTATTTGATCAAAAATACAGTAAAAACAGTGATATTGTACACCAGACTTCAGTGTCACATGATCCTTCAGAAATATTTCTGATATGCTAAGTTGCTAAATTAACTGTAAATATCAATAAGTAAGCAGATCAATTGTTTTGGGAGTGATATGCAATGTTTTATTTGAACAAATGATAAGATTAGATACTGCAATTAAGAATTTGTTAGCTAGCTGTTTACAAGGCACGTTTCAATATGAAATCACTTGGCTAATAATAGTAACATTAAAGCAACACTAAAGAACTTTTCCTCTGTGGTCCCCCTACAGGTTAGAAGCGGCATTGTTGTTTATCCAGCACCGGCTTTAGAGTGAACGATGTCCGATTGTAAAGCAATTCAAATTTGTAGTTTTCTTATGTCTCATTCGAACTACAAAAACGCGACCCGATCTGGCAAACTTATATACTGTGGTTCTAGCAGATATAGGACCACAAAGCGAAGGCAGAAGTGCCTTCACCCTGTTAAGACTTGATGAACCGCTGAAACGATTTTGGAAAAATTATTTTAAGGTAAAAAATCTTCTTTAGTGTTGCTTTAATGTCAACTCACCTCAATATGTATTCTCAGATTTGAGGGAGAAATTTTGAATGCTGAAATTTTATTCACCCGTGGCAGGCAAAGAAGACATTTCAGCCGATAAGAATCTCCCTTGACTTCAGTGAATTCGAACATATCATTGTGATATGGCCATGGGTGATCCCTGTCGCCGGGAATCTCGGGATCATTGCTGGCAGCGAGAGCTGCACCTTCACCCGTCTCTGCGGTCATCCTCAATTTCGCAATGGCGAACTGACTGCTATGTGAGCGTATACTGGCAAAGAGCTTGTGCGTTCTTTTTTTCAAAAGAAAACCAAGTTTTTCATTGGTTTGGAAAGCCAGTTTAATAAACACTTGGAGCGGGCATGGGGAAATGTATCGGAGTAAAAAGTAAACTTTGTCTTTAATATTGTAGTGGAGTAAGAGTGAAAGATGCAAATAAAACATACTCAAGTAAAGTACAGATCCCCGAAAAAAATACTTAAGTAAAGTAACAAAGTATTTTTACTTCGTTACTTACCACCACTGCATATAATTATTTGAACTTTATACACGTTTGTCTTAAACACACAAAATAGCATCGAACTAACTGGCTACTATAAACAAACAGCGTTGGCATTTGTTTACGGTCTTGATAAAATTGAAAAATTACGTCATAAAGTATGGAAAATACATTTACAAAATTAGTACATAATTACAAATTCAGGTCCAAAATGTTTGTACGCGTTTGACACACGAAATAGCATAACTGTGGCTACTAAAGCCAGCGCTGGCATTTGTTTACGTCCTTGATAAAACTAAAACATTACGTCTGAAATTATACATGCAAATACATTTAAAAATGATTAAGTCTTACTTACAGGTTGTGGCCCAACAACTGGTGCCTCTGGTTTTAAAGTTGGAACTGCTTTATGTTTTAACAACAGCAACATTACACACTATTTAAAATGAAAAAAGTGAAATCGCAATCAACCACCCCTTTAATGTTAATGTTATTTCACAATATTTCTGTTTTTACGTTATTTTTGATCAAATAAATACAGCCTTGGTGAGCAGAAGAGACTTGCAGTTGGCTAACTGGGCCATGCTACAGTATGTAATATATACACTCACCGGCCACTTTATTAGGTACACCTGTCCAACTGCTCGTTAACACTTAATTTCTAAGCAGCCAATCACATGGCGGCAACTCAGTGCATTTAGGCATGTAGACATGGTCAAGACAATCTCCTGCAGTTCAAACCAAGCATCAGTATGGGGAAGAAAGTTGATTTGAGTGACTTTGAACGTGGCATGATTGTTGGTGCCAGAAGGGCTGGTCTGAGTATTTCAGAAACTGCTAATCTACTGGGATTTTCACGCACAACCATCTCTAGGGTTTACAGAGAATGGTCCGAAAAAGAAAAAACATCCAGTGAGCGGCAGTTCTGTGGGCGGAAATGCCTTGTTGATGCCAGAGGTCAGAGGAGAATGGCCAGACTGGTTCGAGCTGATAGAAGGGCAACAGTGACTGAAATAACCACTCGTTACAACCGAGGTATGCAGCAAAGCATTTGTGAAGCCACAACACGCACAACCTTGAGGCGGATGGGCTACAACAGCAGAAGACTCCACCGGGTACCACTCATCTCCACCACAAATAGGAAAAAGAGGCTACAATTTGCAAGAGCTCACCAAAATTGAACAGTTGAAGACTGGAAAAATGTTGCCTGGTCTGATGAGTCTCGATTTCTGTTGAGACATTCAGATGTTAGAGTCAGAATTTGGCGTAAACAGAATGAGAACATGGAACCATCATGCCTTGTTACCACTGTGCAGGCTGGTGGTGGTGGTGTAATGGTGTGGGGGATGTTTTCCTGGCACACTTTAGGCCCCTTAGTGCCAATTGGGCATCGTTTAAATGCCACGGCCTACCTGAGCATTGTTTCTGACCATGTCCATCCCTTTATGGCCACCATGTACCCATCCTCTGATGGCTACTTCCACCATGTCACAAAGCTCTAATCATTTCAACCCAATAGAGCATCTTTGGGATGTGGTGGAACGGGAGATTCGCATCATGGATGTGCAGCCGACAAATCTGCGGCAACTGTGTGATGCCATCATGTCAATATGGACCAAACTCCCTGAGGAATGCTTCCAGCACCTTGTTGAATCTATGCCACGAAGAATTGAGGCAGTTCTGAAGGCAAAAGGGGGTCCAACCCGTTACTAGCATGGGGTACCTAATAAAGTGGCCGGTGAGTGTAGTAGATTTCCCCCAAACTGTACATTACAAATTTATACTCAAACACACACGTGTGTTTGAATTAATAGCTCTGAATAAATGAAAACCACTCTCTAAAAAAGCGGTCACTTCTGTCCTGGAACGGGCTGCAAAATGCTCCTTGACTCCACAGAGATAGTCAGGTTTGTCATTTTTCATTCAGAACGGTCAATCACACCACTTTTAATTTCTATTTCAAATAAGCAGTATAGCCTTGGTTTTTTTTGGTTCCTCACCACTTTTCAGCTGCTATGGGCCGTCCACAGGCCATCAATATTGATCACCTTTCTATATGAAAAACACTCCATCCTCATGATAATGACTTGCACTATTGATTAATTAATTTTATGTTGACAACAGCTGCATTAACATTAGAAAAATGAAAGAAGTTGAATTTATTCAAGTGAATCAATTATTCATTTCATTCATGTATGCACATTTATATATTCATTCAGGTATTAATTTATGCAGATTTTGGAGGCTGTAAAATGCCACAGTCCTTCAATAGACATATGACTTCACATTATACTAATAGCTCAGCCTGTCCTGTCCAGGAGGAGGTGACTCAGAACTTTTATTGCACCAATACTGCCTACTCATCTGCGCTATCCCTGCACAGCCTGTGCTCTCCTGCGTCATAGAACAGTGTCCTCACTGGGACCTTTAACTTCTCGTGACCCCTGAGGGGTGGAGCTCTTCATTTCCTGCCCTGCTGGTGACTCACACCCATCAATGAAGGTGTTTATCAGTCTGACCTTTCATGACCTCTTCTGTTTCCTGCTGATGACTGGATGACCCTAGTGGGTGACCTGTTGTTGATTTTTATCTGTTTTTTAACACGTATTCAGTTTATGTCTCAATGCATCTTGTCAGAACGGCCAGTCAGAAGCATCATGCCTGTTCAAACTCTTTTTTTTTTAACTAAGTGGATTTTTAATGCAACTTACTCACACACAAATATATATGTACACACACACACACACATATATATATGCATATATATTTGAAAATGTGTTCCCAAACTAAACGCTATACAATTAGGTTAGCACTTGTTTACAAATAAAAAGATCCACATAGTTGTTAGAATGTGTTCTTTTCTCTCATTGGTCATGTCTTATCTTGCCCGAAGCAGCAAGTGAGACAAAACTGCCAAAAGAAAAAAAAGATGTACAATTACGACCCTGCCTCCAGCAACTTATAAATGTGTCATCATGACAGAGTATGATAATATTTGTGTAGGCTAATGCATGTGCATTTTAATTGCAAATAGATTTCCTTTTATAAATGACTAAACACATTGGAATTCAATATAAGAATAAGATAAATATGTGGATTTTTTTTAAGTGACACATATTAGTCCCATTGTGGGTGCTGAATACAACTAAAAAATTATTTTTAAAGATTTTTTTGGCTTCCATCCCATGTAATTGTTTCGTTTCATCTCAGCATATGGGACTGTAATCGTTGCTTTTCAGGCAGCAGAAACAATGAGCTTTTTGATTAAGGATCCAATATGACCAATTACCACACTGTAACTAGCCATGTTGGCAGAATGTAGATGACAGAAGATCTTTAATGGCTTGTACATTCCATAACAGCATGGATGAACAAAATCTGTTATCACCATATTAAAATACAAGATGCACATTTATCACCACAAAACGAGTTTAAAAGCATGGATTACTTGGCAGACAGCATTGTCTTACTAGACAATTACGGAGAAAATTTACAAGGTGACCCTCTAGTCTAAAGTATCATTTATAATCTATTTCAGATAGTGCATTGTTTAACAACAACAACAACAACAACAACAAAAAACATGTTGCTATAAAAAAGTGCAAAAGAAATCATAATTTCCCTGAGTTTTAGATTTGAGTTTGCACTGGCATTGTTTTGTTTTTTCTTGTTTTGTCTCAAGATGCACACCATTTATATTATATTATATTATATTATATTATATTATATTATATTATATTATTTTTTTAGTAGAAAATATGAAAAAGCATTTTCTGCCTGAGCACAGGCATGAGGTTTCCAAAGACTTATAAAACAAGCATACTGTAAATGTAGCCTAATTTTGTTATTCCATAACGGGCTTTGTGAAAGATGAACAGCTTCTAAATGCATGACCACAACAAAAAGTGTATCTGAAACTCTCTGCGTTTTTTAAGTTACCTCAAAAGCAAGGCCAAGAACACGGACTAGAGATGCAGGAAGAGGCATGGGAGGGGCAGAGCCTTCATTGTCTCCTTGAGGACCTTGCTATACTTCATCATACATTCCTTTTCATCTCCGCGTCCTCAACTTCCAACGGTTTTCCGCATCACCGCCACTGAAACGCACAGTACGTGATCAGGGTGAACCTGCCGGCTGTGGGAATTGACCCGCTATCCTCAGTTTAGATGTCAATAGTGGGCAATTTTTTCCCTCTTCCTCAAGGTCATTGTGACCTGGAGTGAATCCATAAGAGACTAGCCTAATTACTGAGCAACAACAGGCAGTGCTGGAATAACCTAATTATTCTTGGCACATATTAGATAAAGGGGCCTATTGCTGGCTTTCCTGCAAGGGGCCTGTTGAAAAGGAATTTGATTTCCCCAAATACTTCACCACCAGATCTCTCCTTGTGTTAATTGGGTACTTTAAAGCAATGAGGGATACCTCTTCCTTGCAAAACTGAAGGAATGGCTCTTGGAATATAAAGGGACAGATCCCCAAAAATGTCTGTCCGTCCATCCATCCATCCATCCATCCATCCATCCATCTCAAGTCTAAGGTCACTGTTTTGTAGCTCAGAAGAGATCTGTTTTCCCCTCAATTTATTTAACCCTTACCACAAGGTGACTTTTATTTTTGCAAGATGATGAGATGAAAAAGTCACTGAGTGGATCTATGCAGTTTTATTTACGGATCTGTTTCTCTTCAGTCAATCCTACCCCCTGAATAAGACACGTTGTGCAGTGGACAGCAAACTAATGGAAGTTTCCCTCTAGGCCATACCAGTGTGATCCTCATTGACCATGTCATGATGAATTAGCTTCAGCTATAGGCAGCTGGCTTTCTTATAATACACCTACAGGTCAGGAGCCAGCGTTCCTTGATTTGTTATGGCCACAGTAAAGAGAAAGGTCTTCGGATGCATGTTCTTTTAGTGACTCACTATCTATAAACAGAGAATTAAGCTGGAACATAGAGGACACAGTAGCTTATATTTGGATGTGCGCAGTCAGAAATAGAATCAGAGATATCACAAGGTTATTTAGTTTGTTCTCTGATTTAGATCATTAAAATGGTTGCCATTGTGTTTACTGTCATTTTATTTGTCCATTAAATTAGCAGTAGCCTACATTTGACAGTACATTTGGTAAACACCTTGCCCAAGGGTACAGTAGAGATGAGTGACCTTTCAGTTTCTGGGTTACTTGGATCCAACCCTATAACCTTTAGCCATTAGTGGTTCTCGACTAGGTTTGCTTTAGGACCCAGATTTTACACTTGACTCAACACCAATTTCTCTTCTATTTAAAAGAAAAACTTAATAAATTAATTTTAATTTAATTAAAAATATTTTTGAGTTAATTTCACTGAACTATTAATTCAATCTACTGTGTCATGTGTTATGATGAGGTGGAAGCAAGGAGGAAGCAGGATCCAATTGCAGCACACTTTATTTAATAAACTCAAACTACATAAAGACTCTGGCTAGGGCACAAGACTCAGGAACAGAACCACCAACATCAATGTTACAACAACAAGAACTCACAAAGACTGGACTGAAACACAGGGCTTAAATACAAGGCCAAACAAGCTAAACAAGATAACAAGGGGGCGTGGTATACATGAACACAAACGAGGAGCGGGAAAACTGAACAGGACTGAACCAAAAGCACAAAGACAGGGGGAACACAGACAGACATACAACATAGCCCCCCCTCTATGGGCGGCTCCCGACGCCCATCAAAACTAGAGACATAGTTCGGGAGGATGGTGGAGCGGAGGCGGTCCCGGGGGAGGGATGGCGGGCCAGGTCCGTGCAGGGAACGGGACCGGGGTCTTGCGATGGCGGACCTGGGCCATGGAACATGGGCGGAGCAGGACGAACAGACTGGCAGGGCGGAGCAGGCTGTGGGCGTGTCCACGACGGAGCAGGCTGAGGGCGAGGCCACGGCGGAGCAGGCTGTGGGCGTGACCAGGGCGGAGCAGCTGTGGACCCTCGGGCATCCAGGGCGAAGCTGTCGGACCCTCGGGCGTCCAGGGCGGAGCTTTCGGACCCTCGGGCGTCCAGGGCGGAGCTGTCGGACCCTCGGGCGTCCAGGGCGGAGCTGTCGGACCCTCGGGCGTCCAGGGCGGAGCAGGCTGCGCAGGCGACCAGGGTGGACTAGGTAGTTCGGGCGGCCACGGCGGCGAAGACCCCTCAGGCGGCCACGGCGGCGAAGACCCCTCAGGCGGCCACGGCGGCGAAGACCCCTCGGGCGGCCACGGCGGCAAAGACCCCTCGGGCGGCCACGGCGGCGAAGACCCCTCGGGCGGCCACGGCGGCGAAGACCCCTCGGGCGGCCACGGCGGCGAAGACCCTTCGGGCGGCCACGGCGGTGAAGACCCTTCGGGCGGCCATGGCGGTGAAGACCCCTTGGGCGGCCACGGTGGTGAAGACCCTTCGGGCGGCCACGGCGGTGAAGACCCTTCGGGCGGCCACGGCGGTGAAGACCCCTCGGGCGGCCACGGCGGTGCGGCTTTCACAGTCCCGTCCAGGATCCTACTGCCCCCCCCCAAAATTTTCTTGGGGGCAGCCATGGGGTCATCAGCAGGATCAGCGGGCTCTGGCGCAGGATCAGCGGGTTCTGGCGCAGGATCAGCGGGCTCTGGCGCAGGATCAGCGGGCTCTGGCGCAGGATCAGCGGGCTCTGGCGCAGGATCAGCGGGCTCTGGCGCAGGATCAGCGGGCTCTGGCGCAGGATCAGCGGGCTCTGGCGCAGGATCAGCGGGCTCTGGCGCAGGATCAGCGGGCTCTGGCGCAGGATCAGCGGGCTCTGGCGCAGGATCAGCGGGCTCTGGCGCAGGATCAGCGGGCTCTGGCGCAGGATCAGCGGGCTCTGGCGCAGGATCAGCGGGCTCTGGCGCAGGATCAGCGGACACCGGCTCAAGTGTGTGCGTAGCCCACACACACCACATGGCTGTGGCCATAATGGCCAGTGTTGCGGTCACTGAGGGCTCAGGCGGCGCATACGTGACGTGGACGGTCTCTGGCTGGACGGTCTCTGGCTGGACGGTCTCTGGCTGGACGGTCTCTGGCTGGACGGTCTCTGGCTGGACGGTCTCTGGCTGGACGGTCTCTGGCTGGACGGTCTCTGGCTGGACAGGCGGGACGTGGATAGGCTCCAGGGATACTGTGAACTGGCAGAGTGCTTCATCAGCCAAGCCCACCGTAGATGCCGAACCCCCCAAGTAAAGGGCCAGGTCAATATATCCCTCTAGGGTCCAACCGGTATAATCATCCGGCATCAGTTGTGCGATATCCGCATCCAGCCCGCTCCAGAACAGGTCCATGAGCTCAATGTCATTAAGCGATCCCAGATGGCAGCAGTTCAAAAAGTCCCTCACATACTTCTCGATCAGCTGGCCATCCTGAAACATAGAGGCTAGAAATCTTCTTAGTACCTGGTTGTGGACAACTGCTGGATCCATCGTTTGGTGAGTTCTTCTGTTATGATGAGGTGGAAGCAAGGAGGAAGCAGGATCCAATTGCAGCACACTTTATTTAATAAACTCAAACTACATAAAGACTCTGGCTAGGGCACAAGACTCAGGAACAGAACCACCAACATCAATGTTACAACAACAAGAACTCACAAAGACTGGACTGAAACACAGGGCTTAAATACAAGGCCAAACAAGCTAAACAAGATAACAAGGGGGCGTGGTATACATGAACACAAACGAGGAGCGGGAAAACTGAACAGGACTGAACCAAAAGCACAAAGACAGGGGGAACACAGACAGACATACAACATCATGGGGGTATTCCAGAAAGCAAGGTTAACTTACCAGCACATACCCTGAACTCTTGGTTGATTAACCCAAACCTTGCTTATTTGAGGTATGCAGGTTCCAAAACTGCAGTCTGGAGTAAGTTCAGTCAACCCGGAGTATGATACTCAGAGTTACAGGTATTCCAGCGATCATGTGGTATAAGTAGGAGCTCTCATTAAATTCCCATCTTACAAGCTGTAATTACGAGCTCTACAAGAATGTGAAGTTGAAATCTTGTAATTATGGTAATTACAGCATGGGGTGAACGCACCTATACGTCTTTCTTCTTCTTTTGTTTAATGGCGATTTACACTAATAGTGCATATCGTCATGAAATCTGTTAAGCCCACTGGAGCCTCATCAATAGGGCATGCATCCACTGAAGACCTCAGAAGTAAACTAATCCTGGAACGTAAGGTTATGTTCAGAGAATACGTTGCTGTGGCTACTTACATACCCTGAAAGTTACCTCAGGTTTTGGAACAGAAAGTTGATTTGATCCGCTTACTCTGAGTAAACTTACCTAGGTAAGTCGCATAACCTGCTTTCTGGAATTACCCCCCTGTTCTCTACTCCCTATATGTTAAACTGTTGTCAGAGTATGAACTGACAAAGGCTGAATTATTCTTCCAGAGAGGAATGCCACAATGTTTCCACGGAAGCGCTGGTGCAGCAAGACTTCATATTCAGTAGATCAATGTGGCGTCCAATAACATGTTGTGTTGCCTTCTCAAAGCGCCTTGTGTCTGCATGGTTATGTGTGTGTGCGTGCTTGCATTTGGTGCTACTAGTGTGAGCAAGTGCGGTGTTGAACAGCAAAGGCTGATCATGGTGTTTGAGCTTGTAGCCGCTGATGCATGAAATGGGACTCAGACAAGCAGTCTGCTTAAGCCTGTCCCCATGTCCTCCTCCATATACCTACATCACTCCATTGATTTTGCAGCAAGAGATGGGACGTGGGGGTAGAGGTAAAGCTGGCCTTGAGTTTGTAAGTCCTGTAATTCAGACACAGACATGTTTACAATCCAGAAAACATTACACAAATTCTCTAATTAAGAACTTAATAAAGGAACCCAGCAGGTTACAAAGGATAAGATGTGATAAATGGTGTGTTTTCATGTTTTATGGGGACTTTCCATAGACCCAATGATTTTTATACTGTGCAAACTGTATATTCTATCCCCTACACTATACACTTAAACCTACCTATCACAGAACACACACACACACACACACACACACACACACACACAAATATCTTAAAATATATAGTACAATTTTAAATAAGCCTTTTACATCATC